CAGCGTGTCAGACCTGGGCAAAAGAGGAGACCAATGCAGTACTCCGTGAAGAGGTTGCACTTTGATCCCCAAAAAGGTGCTTTTTCCTGGGAGATTAAAGTAAAAACCCTATTTGGTGGGTGTGGAAAATGGCCCCGCTTTTTAATAAATGGCTTGTGAGGGGACTGGTCAAAGCCAAAGCACATGCCACCGGACAAACGAGTCTGGGTATCAAGTTAATTCCGGGTGCATCAAGGTTGTGAGGAAAATCAATAAAAGACTGGCCCTTGGTGAAAGCAGTCCAGAGGAACCGTTCAGTGTTCGATCCTTTGATCATTTAGCGAGTTTGCTTCGCGCAACCCAGTACAGTTTGTGAAAGGGATGGTTGCCGGTAAAACCATCTCAAGTTGAAAGGGTTCAGGAGTTCAATGAACTATTGGCTTGTGTGAAGAAAGGATGCGGCAAATTGTGGCAACTGTGGCACCCTGCCGAAAACATGGGAATTCCGCCTGGTGCTTGTTTGCATGTCGGTCCCACACAAACTGGGGCGCCCTTCAAGGGTGGCTTTTACCACACAGGGTTTTGTTCAATGCACAGCACCCTGAGTCCTCATACTTCTCATGTTAGCACTAGATGTGCGGATCCTCTCCTGGCGCTTTTTTTAGCTCCTAGAGTGAGTCATGGGATCTCTGTCAAAGATAGAATGCCATGCGTGTTTAACTCATGACAGTACCTGACACTGAGTGGGGCTTCTCGTGACAAGCTCTGACCTGTCACAACGGAACACCGCGAATCGTTTCTAGGTCCGGGGGGGGGCTAAGCTGATGTGGAAGCCGGGGCAAAGCATTCATAGGATGATTTAGAACAATTTATAATGTACACACATCGTCCACGCAATTCAAGTATGCCGTCCTCCAGGGTCCCTCCCGAAATGGTGTCTTGAACCAGTAATTTGAGATTGAAATACCGTATACACTTGATTGCTCTAGCCCCATGGGCAGAAAGTGTTGTCTCAGTTGATTGCACATGTTTCCTGTTTCAGTTGGTTGGAGTTACAGCCCAATAGCAGCCAAGAACATGTTGGTGAATATGACATCGACCCAGAGTTGCCAAGATGTCGCTTCTATAAGCCCAAGCACCCCCAAACATTCAAACCGCTTCCGATGTGAAGGCCGGATCCACTCAACTTGCTTCCGCGAGGTTTGCTGAGAAATGCACTCTGGGTCTCAAGATTGATCAAGCTCCGCCCCGTCAAGCGAAAACAAATTGTGATCGGGGACATGATGGGGCATGGAGGGTTGCCGAGGGGGGGGTTTGCCCGGACCGAACGACGGTCGCTCTTGGACGTGGGTTGGGAATTGTGCAAATCCTACGCGAATAGCAATGAATCGTGGCTTTGGTGGGATCACAGGAAAGTCTGCAAATGTCCAACTTCGCGTGTTCGAATCTCAGATTCGAATACGCGGTGCTGGCAGGCGCAGCATTCTCACTTGCTCGAAGCAGGCTCCAGGACTGTGGCCTGACTAGCGTAGTGAGAGAACTTCAGAATGCCACTAACACTTTCGCAACCTCCTAGACTTGTTCTGGCCACATGCTGCAACTTCCAAAGCGCCGGAACTGCCAATGCCTGAAGGAGAAAGGGACAAAGTACACAGTACATACAAGGGTATACATATATATATATATATATATTATTTTTATTATTATCATTTTTGTTATTATCATTATTACTATTATTATTAGTATTACTATTATTATTATTTTACTATTATTATTATTATCATTATTATTATTATTGTTTTAGTATTATTATTATTAGTTATTATTAATCATTATTATTAATTATTATTATTATTATTATCATTATTATTATTATTATTATTATTATTATTATTATTATTATTATTATTATTATTATTATTATTATTATTATGTATGATCATAACTAAATGTGCACTTATATATATATATATATTATATATATACTAGCTTGGTATTTTACACATACGCATTTCCACCGTCCGCTCGTTGTTAACTTATCTCCTCGAGGCGCAAGAGGCGCTCGTCCAGCTGGACGGCGCTGAGCTTCGAGAGGTTGTGGTCCACGAAGCGCAAGACCCGGATCTGCAAGCCCAGGCTCACCTCGCCGCTTTCTCGCCGCGATCGCGCGGTTTTTTTCTCGGACGAGGATCGGAGCCGAAACCGGGAAACCCGGAGAAGGCGCCGTTGTTCGGACGAGATACTGACAAACCCGGAAAAGGATACGTTAAAAAAAGGTACCATGTCGCAAAGGGTAAAAGCAAGTCAATTGTTGGGAAGGGTACGTGAAAAGTACCATGTCAGAAAGGTTAAAAACCGCGATTTGTTGTTAGGATCTAGACCTCGCCGCGTACCACCTCGCCGAAATCAGAAAATTCCCGGACTTGTTGCGGTCTCCACGGGACGCCTTGAGCAGTCCTGGGAAAATCCGGTGAGCGCTTTCGTTGTCCGAGCAACATCGCGCTACGATCCGTCAGTGTGTTAAAAAAACAATGTGAAGCAAGAAATTAGACCCCCAAATGGTCCAGAAATGAACAATTTGAAACTTTCAAATGCTCCAAAAATCAAACAAACACAACTCCGCACTGAAACTGACCAGCATAATGAGTTCTATTCGAGCCCCAACTCTCAGCCCTAGTGTGGTCGCTTGATTCTTTTTTTCAGGGGCCTGAGAATTGGGTGTTCACGCTTTTGGAGAGCAGCGCCAATTTCCAAACTCCGAGCCAGAGGTGTGGTAAGTTGTCATAAATGTGTTCGAGGAAAATGTGTAGGTGACCGACCTTGATCTACCTCATGCTGCACCTGTAGATGTAGTACATCTGCCTATCCAGAAAAGACTTTTGAAGCAAGAAAGACTTCTTTGCAGACTTGTTGCATAGTATGACTCTCTAGCTCAGTTGGCAGTGGACTGTCTCGTGATGGGAGGGAGATGGGATCGGATCCTAGCAAAGCTGGATGCTAAAACATATGTTTGACAACTTACCACACCTCCGGCTCAGAGCTTGGAAATTGGCGCTGCTCCTCAAAAGGCGTGAACACCCAATTCTCAGGCCCCTGAGCAGGGGAAAGCAAGGTGGTCAAACCAACCCGACCACACCCAAAGGCCCCAACCAGGGTCAAAACGATCCCAACCACACTAGTGCACCAAAGACAAAACCAACAACTAAGTCCGGTCAGGACTCTGGATTAAGACCACCATTTCTTATTCACCATGAAATGTTTAAGACATACTCCATATTTTTTTTTAAATACCGATCGACCGTACTCCATACCACCGTGTAAATCACAAAAAAAATACAAGAAATCCAGAAAGGGACGTGACAAGCACATGTCACCACAAAGGGGGAAGCAACAAATTCTTAGTAAGTAGACGTTCAGAACTTGCTGCAGTAGCTAGGGAATGACTGCGAGTTTCCGGGTGTTGGGAATGAACTGAAAGGGGATCCCCGAATAAAGAAAACAGCGGGGATGGTTTATAGGGGGTCATTCCCTGTTTCTTTGCTGAGATTTAGCAAGAATAAAATACCAAAAACAAACAATGGGTACGTTAAAAGTACGTGTCACAACAAAGGGTAAAAAAACAAGAATGGTTTGCCGCTGATATTCAGGGATATCAACCATCATGATGTTGTGTGTTGAAGAAAAACCCAGGGCCGGGTGGGTTCCATGTGGCAAACGAGATGAACCAGCCAACTGAATTCCATTCAAGAGAAACCAAACACAGGAATCGGTCAAAGAGCGATCTATGCATGGTGACAAAACGGGTCGCCTAGCCGAGGCAGAACGAAAACTCGCCAGACCGATGAGATGCTTTAACACCCGTGGGAACGTTGACTAAATACTTTGAGCCGCAAACGCAGCGGTCGCTTTCCGAAACCTGCAGTGGATTGGCTGATTGTGGGGGTTGTTGCGACTTGTGGGTTCGAGGGGGGTCCCCCCGTCCAAAACAAAAGAAACAAAGCCAAGGATCCATACTGCGAACACGGGGTCTTTCAAACTGGCAGCATGTCGTACCGGGACCCTCAAACTACCGAAAGGACATTACCCATGACATCTGGGCAATATTCCCAATGAGTTTAATTAAGGCTTAAGGTGGCATCTTTTCCTGACAAAAAGCAGCAGTGGGAGTCATTATGTTCTGCAAAAAGAAATAAGAAAGCACAATGAAGAACCGAGGTGGCCGAGTTAAGGCAAACAAAGGGACAGCCCATTTCATGGAGGCCCAAGCTACTTTCCATCCAAGCCCTCCTGTCCCCATTTGGGTCTTTCGTTTTCCATCGTTTCCCCGTTTCCTATCGTTTCCCCGGGGTTACGGTGCCATGAACTCCCAAATCTCTAAAAAGCGACGCGTACCCTCAAGCAGGTTGTTAATTAATAAATCGACACTAACCGTCCACCACACACATACGCAAGGGTGGGGAGCAGGAATCCTATGGATCAAGCGGAACGGGGGAACACCACCCATCCTGGTTTGGAGGCATACATTTTATATTTTTTTAACGAAAAGGATGTTTTGTGCGTACCAAGGAGGTTGCAAAAACCAGACGTGTTGAGTCCAGTGCCTTTCTGGGTGGCATCATCCCGGGGAGGTCAACATGGGTCGTCGAATCGTCGAAGTCGTCGCCTTGTTGAGCTTGAGGTATTGGGTCACATGTCTCCTCCGGTCTTGCGCCTGCAAAATCGGAATCCCGTAGATGTCCGATGTATTCCGCGGGAGATACCAACAACAAAAAGGCGGCTTGGATTGGCTTAAGAAACGGCCCCCTGTAAGAAGAACCAAGGGTTCAAACCCATAAACTACCAATCCGGATGCCGGATCAGAGAGTTTCGTGCATACAACGCCATCTGCAAGTGGGAAGGGTTGGTGGTCCAACAATGGAAAAGCCTTCCCGCCGGGCCAAGCGCTCTCCGATGGAACAATAGCGAAAGGTATCCTTTCTGCTGGGAAAAACGGAAGTGCTGGTCAAATACCCTTTGAGGGCTTTCTGGAGTGGTTAGAAGGGAGTTCACAGGAAAACCGGTTTTTGGGCTCCGCGCAAAAAGCGAATGTGTGGTTTCAGGGGCAAGCAGATTCTGAGCAACACCTTCAAGAAATCCGCCTTGAACTCAGATGTAGATCCCCAAGGGTTCCCAAGAGCACTAAGGCGTGAAGACTCGCTCCTTTTACGCAACACATCCGGCTCGAGCGGATCTCCCCCTCTCCGGCGCGAAAGGGCCTCCGAGTTCATCTTGATGGCCGCCTGGATGGACGCGGAGACCCGGGAAATGGCACTGCCCATGACCAGCAAGGAGAAGAAGATCACCAGGATGTTGTACCTGACCGCTGTGGTTCTGGAATTCACGAGTCTGTGATATAACAAAAAGGGCTTTGCAAAGACTACCGCCTCCCCACCCAAAAAAAATGGGGGGGAGATTGTGGGGAAAAGCCCCTTGATCCCCCAACCCTGTACCTGACTTGTCCAACTGGAGTCATCACTTTGACTGGGGGTTAAAGTCAGGCATTTCAGCTACCAGGTTACCACTTAGGGGTCTTTTTAACTAGCCCCGGCTTTTTACTAGCCCCGGCTCGGCGCAAGGCCTCCCTCCCAAGAGGTTGGCTGGGGGGTTGGTGGCCGCATCGCCAGCATTTCCGGTTTCTTGGCAGGGCGCGTATTGGGCATGACTTGATGGTAGTAGTTGACAGTTGACAGTTGCTAGTAGTTGACAACCCTGAACTCAAAGCCAATGGGCAGCTCTCGTCCGAGTGAGGCCAGTAATGCTGGCGATGCGGCCGGCTAGCCCGAGCAACTGTCAACTACTACCATCAAGTCATGCCCACTACGCTGCCCGGACAAGAAACCGGAAATGCTGGCGATGCCGGGGATGCGGCCGCCCAGCCCACCAACCAACCAGCCAACCAACCAACCAATCAACCAGCCACCCAACCAACCAACCAACCAGCCTTCTAGACGGGGGTACCTCCCGAGCCGGGGCTAGTAAACAAAAAACACCGCTTCCGGGGGTGATGTTGATATCAAAATACTTGGGCCAGTAGCGGGTTCCTTCTTGTTTTTGAATTTGTGCTGCCATGCACGCTGTTTGGTTTCCCTTTTTTATTGCCATGCCGTTTGATTGTTTCGGGAGCGATGTTGTACCGGTAAGCGACTCCCTCCCGCAAAAGCCAAGGACCCCCTCCCACAAAAGAAAAGACCCTGGCAGAAAACCAGAGGGCAAAGGGGTGAAGCGGGGCTTTGGAGGTGAGCTTGTGGGGAAATAGGGAAACCAACAAAACAACGGTGCCATTGACAACCTGCTGATCTCACGGCGCGCTTTGAGCACGTAGGGATTCCTTAAATACCTCCCATCTGACTCGAACCAAAATCAGGAACTCTCCAGTTCGGTTTCATGGCAACGCGGTGATTTCCCCTGGACCGTTTTGTGCATGGCCCTGTAAGGAATCAGGCTGGAAAGGGACCTGACTTTGGATTCTTTGACTAGTGGCCCACCCCCTTTTGTGAGAAGATTCAATTATGGGCCCAGAACAGGAATGGATAAATGAGGCCACCAGGATTCTATCTCGAGGGCCGCGAGGATCTACCAAGGGCCCTGACATTTGGCGAAAAGGCACCGCGTTCCATGGTGAGTGCCGCGCTTTCCAGCTGACCTCATGGTATGTTTGCATCCCGGGTTCTTGGTTCAAAAATGTCGTAACCATGGCAAGAATCAGGGAGCTATAGTATCATAGACGGATATGTGGTCAACATAGGGCGACCTCCAAAAGGCGCAAAACGATGGTTTGCCTGTTGGTTTCCCTTTGAACCCAAGAGAAGGGTCCTTCAACAAAGAATCCAAATGGAGCCCTGCCACCCCAATCCCCCAACATCTGACAAAGCACACGCGCTCCCGGCTATTCTGCGCATGGATGCTCACCGGCGCAGGGGTGAACTGACAGAGGACCCAGTGGCAGCTTGCCAGATACTGGTCCTCAAAGGACTCGGGGCTGGCACAAGAAGTCTACTTGCACAATACTGTGGATGGACAAAGCTCTGTGCCACTTTGAAACCATGGGAAACCTTGGTTTGTTGGTATTTACAGGGGAATCACCAGTCCAGAGCTTCTTAGGTGGTGCAGGATTTCGTTCATCCACAGTATCTCATGGAATCCGAACAAATGTCCCAAGGATGTTCCTCAAGGACGGGGCTCCATGTGAACATGTGTAGTCTAAACGGTTGGTTGGCAGCCTCCCAAAGCTGAAGTCCCACTCGTCAGCTACCCCCACATCCAACCAAGACGCACCATTTAGCCATCAACCTGCCTTGGGAGGCCCCAAAAAATGCAAAAACACAATTTCTATGGGTGAACAACCGTGTTGCCAATTTTGCAAAACGTCCAACACCTGAAATAAGACATGGATCTCCCAGTCAATGACCTATGTTATGGGTAAGATGGCTCGAGTTACCTTCCTTCCCCAATCGGTGAGCTCGCCATGAAATATGGCACCTG